CAAAATGAATGGAGGAAAGGGAGGAGTGAGTGAGTGAGTGTGTTTATGTATGCATGCATGCATCTGCGTGCACCTCACTGTGCCCCTGCATGCCGGCACATGTTTCCCTGTGTGCCTAATGTGTGTTTTGCACAATTTGCAGCTATGCCAACAATATTAAGGGCTGCTTCACAGCTGGAATGACTAAAACACTGAGGGGCGAAGAGGGAAAAGGAGGAGGAAGAGTCAAAGCCCCTCAGCAAGATTAGCTGGAGCTAGCATTAAAACACAAAGTGCTTGCTTTGCATGTGTTTGCGTTGGGTGAAATGTGAGGGGATGTGGCTACTTAAGATGACAGAGGACGTGTTTGCTGAGTTTGAAATCCCGGCAAAGGGTTTTTCCTCAAACTTTCTTTTACAGAAACCACATACTTGAAGTTTTGTCTTTGACACCGCACTCTTGGCTTCCCCTTTGACCCCGGAGGACAAAGAGCAAACAGGCGAGTTTGGAATTCGATAACTCCAGTTCACTATTCACCGAAAAAAATTACGATGCTGTGCTCAGATTGCACCAAAGTTGAATCCCATTTCACCATTTCCCCTGAAGGTACATAATGCAGCTCGAGAGTTCCACTCACCTCTACCAGCGCTGTACGGTTCAAGATGTCCTCAACAACTCTTTGACTATTTTGAGAGAATTTGTTGCACAGATCTTTGAGCATGTCCAAGTTTCAAGCAACAAGACTGCGCAACTCATAAAAATTAGAATCTTAGACTCCCAAACGAATGCTGTTTGCCAACTAGTGGTAAACCAGTGATAAACTACTTTTACTTTTCATCTCCAAATTAATGTTAATTTGCGATGGGTAAAGACTGTTCCCTTTTTTTTTTTTTTGCTCTGTCAAACAGATAAGCAGGGCTTTCTGGTTAGTAAAAAAATGAAAATTTTCAGGGGTGCACTTAAAAAAAGTGATATGGCCATAATGACTTTGCATCTGTTTACAGCAGGGCTATTCAACTAAATTTCTCCAGAGGCCACAGTAACTGCAGGCCAACAGCTCAGGGGCCGAACATCCAGCAATTAAAGTCATACTGTACATAAACCAAGTAATACAAAGATCTGTTACCTTTGAAATAGTTTATTTTTGCTGCATTTAATCAATAATACAACATACAGAACCCTATAAAAGTAATGATAATTAAACAATATCAAAAACAAAAATAACATATTTTGCCTTATATTTTCCACAATTTTAACATTTCTGACTTACCAAATTTTTAAAACAATTTTATTTTCACTTTCATTGTTTTATCTTCAACAGTTTGTAGTCTTGGACTGTCTTGGACGTTAATAGAAATGTTTTTACCAGCTTGTAGCCAAGATTCTGATGTTACTGTAGACACAAACATATCTATGATTAMCTAAAAGAACTTAGAGTAATTAAAGCAGAAACCAGGGGTTTGGGCTGAAGAGATGAATGAACCGATTGGTGGGCCAAAGTTTGGTCACTCGTGGACTAGATGTGGCCCGCAGGTCACCAGTTGAATAGCCATGGTTTACAGGAATCTGCAACAAGTGTTTCCTTAATRGGAGTTTCATGTTGAAGGCAAAGAAATTTTAATTCCTATGTTTGGTAAATTTATGTTCAGGGCCAAGATGCAAGGGTAATGTTTGGCCTACAGCTCACAAAATCTCAGATAAAGGCCACTGAAGAGAAATTAGTCACTCCCTGAAACACAYACACACACATACACACACACACACACACACACATAAAAATGTCACATATGCACATGCAAAATGATAAAAAGTTCTTCACATAGGTTTTCGGATCATCTCTTTATTTTCCCACCATAAGCAACTTTTTATGCCTTCTTTGAGGTTGAGGCTGAAATATTTACTAATGAATAAATGAATCATCATTTGAATAAAGTAAAATTTAAGTGATGTTAAATGATACATTTTATAGACATATTTATCTTCATTTAAAAGTACAATCAGCGATCCAAAGGCAAACATCTGGGGCATGTACACCACATAAAATTGTGGAAAATAGAAAGCCTGTTTAGATGTGAAGTGCATTTTTTATTATTTTTCCAAGGACAAACAGCACAACAACACAGACCATGAGTTGCTTTCAGCGCAGCTAATGAGATTATCCTCGTATACGTCTAGGTCCCTCGACCTCTCCACTTCAGATGTTTTGGAGGGGCTGGTGAGGGACCCTGTGCGTTGCACAGCAGAATGAGATGAGTGCATCTTACATTCCCGTGTAACAAACCCACACGTTGTAATCATAATGCTTACACGATGCCTTGTTTGCACTCCCTACCCAGTAGATAAAGGGCAAATAAAGCACGCGCTACAATGGAATTCTTGCTTCGTTTCCCCACAGCCCCTTGCTTATTAGCCTGTTTATTTATATATTTTGACTTTGCATTTGTTYATGAGCCACTTGTTTATTGCAAGTGGGGCTGTGACGACTGAGACAACGGATAATGCCGACAGCTCTGTGGCTGCGGTGGCCCAGTTGTGCCGTATTGGTTTCCGCCTGCTCCCATTTCTCCAAATGCTAAAAACRTAGAGGCTTTGTTTGAGCAGACACTTCGCCTGATTCTTGAGAAGAAAGAAAAGATGCTTGTTCGGCCACTAACTGAAGGCCAAACCAAACAAAGCAACCAATTACTTCAGCAAGTTTAGGAAAGGTCCTCGAGAAAAAGAAAACCATTTGTTTGAAAAGTTTTTTTTTTTTTTTTTAATGTGCACTGGGAACTTTTTAAAAACTTTTAATGTACACATGAATCTAAAGAATTGCTTGAAAGTTCACTCCTTGGAGTATGTTTTGCCTCGACTGCAGCAGCAGCAGCAGCAGCCCCTGTTAGCTAAGTTTTCCATTCAAGTGGCCCCTGCATATGGCAGATGCAGGATAATGGGATCTGTATCCTGTCACAGGGCCTCTCAACTGCAGAGAAAACAGTTCTGTGTTTGTGGAGGCATTCTTCGCGCGAGGCTTTTCGAAGGCGCTCTGAACGATGCCACAACCACGAGCATGACAGCGACATCCTTTGCCGCTCTCGCGGAGCAAAAGAGTACATGTTACACCGTGGGCTGCGTTGCTTGAAAGCACGATTCCTGTGTAACGCATGTGTGTGTGTGTGTGTGTGTGTGTGTGTGTGTGTGTGTGTGTGTGTGTGTGTGTGTGTGTGTAAAAACGGCACGGTGTGTATAGCAGTATCAGCCTCTCTATACACCTTTCTCTAAGTGCAATCACTGCAAGCTGAAGATAAATAGGAGAAGGAACCCAAGGGAGGGGATGAGCAGGAAAAGAGAAATTCCCGTAGTGATGAACACTTCATCCATGCACACATATTTCTCTCTGCCTCCTACTTCTCACACGTGTACCCAGAAAGGGATCAAGCAGATGGATGGTCCTGTGTAAATGTAGTGGCAGCAGGTAGGGCTGACAAAAAGTCTTCTGCTTCGCCCAGGAGACTGAGGAATACACTGCTCTTATTCTCTGTGCCTCAGACACATAAGACAGAGCTGAGATGTTTTTTTTTTTTCTGAACACCATCCGGAGGCGGTACAGCTACAGGTTACACGGTTTTGTGAAACTGCCCTGCCTACTTTTCCCCCCTCTCAATTCAGTTTCTTATTTGTGCTCACTATCTTTGCTTTTCCCTCCTTCTCTCTATCGGTTTCCCGTCCCTTCATTCTACTGTGTCACTGGAATAAGTGTTGAAGCAGAATGAGTCAGTGCCCCTACGTGATTAATGACAGGCTCCGGCGTCTCCGGGGCCGAGCGCTGAAAACAGCCAGGGGGCAGCGCGATAATGCACAATAATAAAGCCAGCAGACAATCAGCCAGGCAAAGCAAGGCCTATTAGCTCGCCCCATCAGGACGGCTAAGTGAGAAATTAGCCCTTCCCAAGCTCCGCCACAATTCATCAAGTGCTGCCCCTGAATCCCCCCTCAAGAAGTCATAATGTTTACTTAAAGACTGGCCTCGATGCCCTAGCGGCGAGCTTTATTGGCTCTTATTAATTCCCGGCCCGGCCCTTGCAGCTATGCCATTTAAACCRAATTAAAGGGGTGAAAATTGGATGAGATGAAGTTGTCTTGGTGTTTGGTTCTCGCGTGATAAAAACGGACGTAAACGGGGGGGGGGGGGGGGGGGGTTTAAAAAAATTGGGATAGGAGGGCAAATAAAATGGAGTATAAAGGAATGCTGAACGTAGCTGTCCTGAAACACGCCACAGTCAGTCAGAGGAATACAGGGAAGAGAAAAAAGAGTGGTGTTTGAAGGGGGGGATGAAGGGGCATTGCTTTAATATTGGACTTCCTGTGTGGATGGGAAAAGATCCAAAAGGGTACAGCCAGGTCATACATTCCAGAGATGCAGAAATGGATGGTTTTAGTTTATCTGTTTCCTCTTATCAGGCACGAAAAAATAATTTAGGATAGGTTCAACCGGTCATAATTTAATACGTCAGAGAAAGACAAGCGGGAGGATACTCAAAAAGTCCATACTGTGTTTACTCGACTGGTCTCAAACCAACAAAACTAAAGTTCTGCATTATTTATTGGTAATTATAATGTCTTGTTAAACAAAAATGCTGAAAGTGCTCACCAAACTTTTTACATTAAAAATGATGCGTTGTTTTGATTTTAATCAACCATTTCCATGCTATAAATGATCAGTCTCTGTCTCTACTTTTCTTGCAGTTGCAAATTTTCAAAGTTTTTCCCTCAAAAGTTGTTCAGGAAAAGCTTTATGTCACGCTGTATAGGAGTGCTGAACCTTGGGCTGGTCTGTAAGTGGAGTAAAGAGTCTCATCTGTGTGAAGTCTGACTGTGTGTTTGCCGGATTGACAGCAGGTGAGTGTGTTCTGTGGAGTAGTATGGAGTATAGCGCAGCGGAGGAGTGAGATCAAAGACAGCGGGAGCTCAGAGGGAGTCCTAGAGACTTCCAGCTCCCTGACGGCTCTCCCCACAGCGGCGTAGGGGAGACAAGTCTCTACCTTCACTTTCATATCAGCCGCAGAGCCCCCCCATTCTTCTGCATGGGCTTCGAAAAGGCTTCACACACGCAAGCGGTCTCAGAGGACTGGGAAGTGCTGCCAAACCTGCATCCCACCTACAGCAACACTCCTACACATGAACACACACACACACACACACACACACACACACTGTTGCTCATCAGAAACAAAAAACACAGTTGCATTTTTCAGCTTGTGAAAGGGTTGAATTTAGAAGAAATTTTTCAGCATGACAAAAAGGAGACCTACAACTAAAGCAAACTTAAGACCAGAAATTAACTGGGTTTTTTATTGGCTATTTGCATTGCTGGTCTTTAAAAAATAGAGCTGTTGGTCAAATTATAAAGCTGATTTGTTAGGATTTAGCCTTTAAGCTTATCATTAAACATAACGATCTCATAGATTTTAAAATGCAATTGCATGTGATTTAGTAATTTAACCCTGGGGTGAGGAGTCAAAACAGATTGTTCACATCCTTACAGGTACAAAATTATCCATATTTTCTTTCCCAAAGTAACATTCTAACAAAAAGATTTGTTTTGAAAAGATTACTTTAAAGTCTTACATTTCCTTGGTAAATAAAATGTTATGTGCAGTGCAATTTTGCAAAGATCTTCACTTTTTTACTTATTTTTAACTATTTTTCCAAGTTACTGAACAGTACAACCAGGCTACCTCCGTATGCAAAAACATACTGCTACAAGAAAATACAAGAAAGCATTTAAGACAAATATATCTTCTGAACATATTTTAATTAGTTTATGGAGTTTTGCCCTTTTGTACCAGGTACAATAGACAAACAAATACTTAGTATGTAAATGTGCTCCTTATACCATTCTACAGTCTCTAAGCTTTGACAGTGATTCAACATCTTCTAATACTTGATCATCTAATATCCTCACATTAGATTTTCACCTCTAATAGTGAAAGAGCACAAGCTGACCAAAGAAACTGGCCAAAAAACATCAATTGGTCTACCTCAACTCAAGAAAATACCACACCGTGGGGATACAACACCATAAAGATGCAATAACAATGTTGCTGGGTGAAAAAGATTTTTAAAAAAAACATAAACTCCAAAAAGTACAATCACAAAATAGCCTCCACCYCCTAAAATTCCTAACAAGGGAAGAAAAGTGCAAGACCATCATTACAGGCAGTCCCCTCAGGCCAAGCTAAACATYTGGGTGTGTTTACCCGTTTCATCTGTTCACGATGCCATCTCAAATAAATTCGAGAACTGCAACGCCACTGCTAAGCAAACACGCTCAACACTTGCCGGCTCGCTCACTCAGCTCTGCGTGCCATTTTCACCCAGCCAGGTCGGCAAATAAACTCATGAGGAGGAGGCCTTAATTGGAGTGTTTGACGGGTGCCTGGGGTTAATTGGGAACCATAGAGAGCAGCTGGCTCCACGGTGGAAGTTGAGACAGGGATAATAAGTTCACCCTTTGCGGGAGAGACAGTTAGTGATGAATCAGATCAGAGAAACGGTGTACTGTAATCATCTTCACATCTCCCCTCCGCCACCTCCTGACAAGCAGAGACAACCTGGCTCGCAGCTACGCAATCTGGCACCTATCACACAGGACTGGCAGTCACAGAAAGGGAGATCATCCAGCAATGCTTCGCACACAGCTTCCCTAACTCGGTCTTCACTCGGCTAATCTCTCCATAACCCTTACCTCCAGGACAAGGAACCWAGTTTATCAGTGCACCGGTCGATGTATGTAAATCTTTCCCAACAATGTGGGTACTAATGGCTTATTACCCTGCGTTAGCGGGTTTGCATTGATCTCTACGCCAGAGGGAGATGAAAAACTAGAGCAGTTCTCTGCTTATATGTAGCAAGCAGGACTATAATCTCATTCCAGCTTGTTTCAATAAAAGACAAACATTAACATAAACCATCTAAAACATTCACCCCCACATCTTCCGTGCAAGAAAAAGGAGGGAAAAAACTTCCCTGGATTACAAGGTAATCAGGCCCAGATGGGATAGTTCTGTCTAACTTTATGTGTCCCTCTAAAGTGCATCTGTCTGTACTGATTATTTACACAAGAAAACAGTTTGTTTCAAGAGGAGAAACTGTTCAGTGAGTTCTATAGAATGCGGGAGAAAGTGATTCTGGTAGCAGTAAAGGGTTTCGATGTAACTCTAAACTCTTCCTTCTGCTAGGAGGGTGGCTGAGGGAGCATTTGGGGGCTGAAGGAAGCCCAGGTAGAGTCATAAGCAGTAATGGGAGGAGACAGGGACTTAGAGCGCCACACAAAAGCCGGGCTTTATAAATAATTCCAAAAGCTAACAGGATCCCTTGTATGTGAAAATCTGTGAAACGCATTCACACACGAATGCGCACACACCCGAAGACCGCCACCAGGGGGAATGGGTTATTCACACCGCTCCGCTGGGGCTGCTGTGGGTCTAACCTGCCCGGATTGGTAAATTTGTGGGGGAATATCTTTCTTGCATAGGTGATGCAAGGAGGAAATCAAGTGTGGAAATGTCCATTCCTGCAAGACACACACACACACACACACACATTTACACACTCAATCACTCATAATGCGGGGCTGCGAAGCACACTGAAGACCTGTCTTGTAAATCTCTTTGTGAAAGCAGCTTTTCGGGGTAGACAGGGGCTTACACTACTGAGCCCTGAGGTAGAGCTGCAGACTCCACTCCCTCTAACCCCCTCCATGGTCTCTTTCCCTCTCCCACACACATACTCTGCACCCTCTCTCCACCCATATTTCCTCCTCTTCTTTTTGCCCTTCTTTCACCTTTTCACTTGCTCCCTTTCCCTCTCTCCCGCTCCCCCACATTCCCCACCCCTCTGTCCAAACCAGGCTCCAGAGCATGGGTCCTTAGCCCCTSAGGCTCTTGTTGTGCTGCAGTGACTAATGTCCTGCCTTTGCTCAGACAATGAGTTTGAGGCTGAGCCGGGAAAGTGTTGAGGAGGGAAAAAGACTCTCGCACCTTTGACAAATGGAACCCTTTGCACTCCCAAGCCCACTGAGGGAGGCTTTACAATGTTGCGCTCCACGCTCCGTGTCCTCCCAGGGACGGCTGCAACCCGTAAAGCCGCATCTGGGGAAACATAATGAATTCTTTGGGAAGTCTAACCTGGCTTTCTTCATGAATAAGATATATTTCCAAAGCATGTCAACCCCTATTAATAAAAACACCAGCCTGGCAGGAATAGCCAAAGCCGTTTTAGGGGCCCCATGTTCACGTAAATATTTCTGTTTCTCTATAAATTTTCTCAGGCCTGCTTGCTTCTCTCCAGGACTGTCACTGCAAGGAAAGGCCTCTACATTTTCCCTGGAAGGTAAAGGAGGGAAAGGAAAGGTGGGGGGGGGGGGGCAGCGGCGATGACAAACTCTCGTCAGAAACGTCCCCAGTCCCGCTCTTTCAAAGAACTCAAACTCTCGGATGCGCCCTCCTCTTGCACCCTACCCCCCTCGTGCAACCCTGAAAGGAACTGGGCTTTGTCTGATGAGCAAAGAAGAGAAGAACCCCCACCCCCCACCACCACTACCACCCCTCCTCAAAACTCAACCCCAAAGCCCACCTCCCCTCCGCAAGCCCTGTTTCTCATTCCCCGCAGAGTATTGTTAAAACTCAGCCCCCTCTTTTTTTTTTTTTTTTTCCATGGCCCGGGCTCCTAAAGCTGCATACTTTGCATGAGAAAAAACGATTAGTCTTCAAATGTTGTGCTGTCAATGAAGGGCTCTTTTAGACTGGGGCTGAAATTTGCTCAGATAGTAGAGTTGCCCTTTGTTTTTCTAAGATGAGGCATGATTAGAGGCAGGGTCTGTTAGCATTCATTACTGAAAAGAACTCACTAAAGGGGTGGGGGGTGGGGGGGGGGGGTTACACGGAACACTACTCCCCCTCTTTTCTCCAGATTGCTCCAAGACCACAGAAAACAGAAATAAAGGGGGCCGAGCGGGGGGATAAGGCAGCCATCTACAACATGTTTGGAGAGTAAATAGATTGTCTGGGCTTCTTTCAGGTATTAACCTTGGGATTTACATTTGGCATCCAAACAATAGACACCTCCTTGACCTCCACTCCAGAAAGCAGCGAGACTCGGGGATAACTCCCTCTGGAAGACAAGCAGCACAGGGAGAGCAAACACATGGGCCTCATATAACCTAATTATTGCTGCGAGGACAAAGGTTTGGTTTAGATCATGCACGGTTAAGAAAACTTTTTCTCTCTCTCTCTTGCCTAATCAGGGTCATTTTGGTGTTTGCGCGGGGGCGAGAAAGTGTGTCTTGGTGACACACATCAAGAAGCAGGGGTGAGTGACAGATCATTGTTCACAGCAAGCGGTCGGTGTATGTGTCTTCAAAAAAAAAAAAAAAGGCCCCAGACCCCCTCATGGATGCCACAACCAGCTCCCATCAAAGCTGACACAATACACATCTGCACAAACAGCCGCGAGACCCGGGAAACTTGTCCGTTCGGGTCGCTCAACTTTACACAAGAGCAGATGGGCCTCAAACCGGAGCACTTCACCTCGTGCTGCTATACACTTCACACCACAGATTTAAAGACATTTTTACAGCGTCCAAAGCAAACACAGGTGGGGAGGGGGACGAGGGGCAGCCACATGCAGGCGCGACCTGTCCTCTTTACCATTCAAGTGTTTGAGGGGCAAAACTAAAAAAATAATAATATTAAAAAATAAAAAAACGATTCTCCACATTCTTACACCCAATTTTAGAAATAAAATTTACCAACACTTACAATGGGCTCTTATGTTAAGTTGTCGCTCATGAATTCAAATGACTTAATTAAATATAAGTGAAACCGTTTCCCCCCTTTTTTTTTCCTCCCTATATTTTTATGGCAGTTTTACGAGGCTCACTCTGCGAGACCAGGCTAAAATTGTCACGACCGGTTGGAGTTTCCAAAAAACCCTTCAGCTGAGCCCTAATGTTTTTTTTTTATTATTATTGTTGTAAAATAAAAAAAGTGCTTCCAAATAGAAAAAAATAAATAAAAACTTGCCAATGAATGAATGTGATGTGTAGAATGCACAGGCATGCGTGCATTTCCAGTGTGACAGCAGAGCAAAACCCCGCCTCGACTCGAGTG